CATCTATCTAGTTTTTCATATGATGATGATAACAAAAAGAACCACTGAATTTTTTTTTTCAAATTAAAAGGAGATATCGATGTGTATTTAAAAGCAAAATACATCCGCAAAGAATAGCAGTTGTTTAATAACAGACTTTAACCATAATAGTGGTTATAAAATGAAGAAATCGGAGTTGATATGAAGAGTACTTTAGAGCAGAATTCAATGGACTCTGCATGAATTTTCGAAAGTTAGAGATATATTAGTCAAAAAAAAATATTATATATTTCGTACATCCATGTATTGTACAAAAAATGTTCATAGTCCAAAACAAGACGTGAATTTTTCACTAAGAACAGATGAAACAAAAAAAATGCAAAAATATTAATATATTAAAACTAATAGTTTTATTACAAAACTACAAAATATTGCTGAGATTCAGATTAAAAAGACGAAGAGAAAAAAACCAACAATGAAAAATAAATAAAAGACTGGTGCGTTGTCTGAGGAAAGAGAAGATGAAAAATACAAAAATATTATTATATTATGGAGTTTATAAATGTATAGTCATACATGAAAATTATTCTATTTGAGAATTTTAATCGTGTATTAAGATGAAATATTCCTCTAAAAGATTAACTTTTTCACAAAAAAAACAATTTTATCCTTAACGAAATAACGTCAAGATAAATAAAATGAGATAAAAACAGTTCATATATCAGCCACTGTTCTAGTCAGTTTGCTAGAGAAAAATTAAAATAAAAATATTACTAGTACTTAGAAAGAAACAGGTATAATAAAAGACAACCAACATAGAAAAATTACATTTTTGCGAAAAAGAATTAAAAAACAACAAACAGAGAGAACAAGAGAACAAACGTGTCACTAGTGAAATAAAAGAAAAGTAAGAAAATTTATGATATAAAGAATTTAAAGTGAGTTAATTCTAACGAAATATTTCTCTGCTGCTTATAATACTGATTTAGATGTCATACTTATTTTAAAAATTTCTAAAGTTCCTCTTACCTAAACATAATATTGTTTTAACAAGGTGTCTTGATGCATAAAAAAACAAAAAATTATGGAAAATTTCTGAAATATCTATTCAAACCTATTTTGTCAATGGCCTTATTGGCCAATGTGTTTGAGTTGTAAATGGTTGATATTCTTGATATGTTTGATTAACTGCTCTGTATGGAGGCCAATAATAGAGTTCAAGCCATTCTTGCATTATGTCTTGAGTATAGATTAAACTCATTGATTGTGTTAGTGAATCGTACATATGCTGATATTCACTTAATACTGCTTGTAATTCAAATAAACGTTGTTGTAAATCGGTAGGTCTAACAAATGAATATTGACGATTATACATTGGAGCAACCGTTTGTAAAAACGAAATATATTCATTTGAACGATCAATTAATGTGCTCAATTGACTTACATCATACCATATTTGAGTACCTAAAAATAAGTAGATAAGTAATTTACATGACACAATAGTTTATTAATTACATACCAGGCAATGTTTGACAATCGACATTAGAATAGCCTAATGTTGAAACAAGTGTATTACAATCAATAATATTTGTAACATCAACAATATTTCCAGTATTTAATGTGTATAAACAACTGAGTAATGATTTATAAGCCGTTGGAAATAAATCACATATGGGCATAAAATGGTCAAATCGTGACCATCCAGTTAGAATAATGGCATAAAATTTATCTTTTCGAAATGTTTGATCTTGCATAAAAAGATTCCATTGATTGTTATTTAGTACATGATGAGTTGTATTTGTTATCATTGAAAAACGTTTCCAACCACCTTTAAATGCACTTGCAGCCCAAACATTGGTAAACGTTTTTGAATAGATACTCCATATTGGAGAAGATGAATATTGATCTTCAAATTGTGAACTATAATACCATGACACAGGTTCAACTATACCTTTCAAATCATTCAACTAAACAGAGAGAAAGTAATTTATAAGATAGTACATTAAACAAATAGTAAGACAAATGTACTTAAAAAATAGTACATTAAACAACGGTTAACATCTTAGAAAAGAAATTTATAAGCAAATAGAAAAGAATAATTCTGTACTATTGATAAATCATTGATTATGGCTAATAGCAGCGATGGACGAGTCATCACTTTTTCGAGTCTGAGTGGCATAACAATTGACTCATGTCATTTTTCAAAGATAAAATTAGCACTAATTCATGTTTTCAAGAATAGATTTCAACTTCTGTTGTTTCAAACATCACTGTATTCATTCTGTTGAACGTTTGCTACGTTTTATCTTCTAACAAATATAAAAAACATCTTTATAATAATTCAGAGTTTCATATGATTGATTCAAAAGTGACTTGAATCAGTTTACTAAGTCATTTGCATCGAGTTTGAGTCATGAAAAAAAGAAAGTGAATTGTACTCGCCCAACTCTAACTAACAGACGCATCTCGATTTATCGAATAAAGAATTAGAAAGAAAAAGAATATATCGCCTTGCGACTACCGTTATGGGTATAGGTTACTGACAAATGTCAGTTCAAAGTGTTCGATATCTACAACCAAGCCCCTATTCTGAAGCATCAAAACATAAGTAACTTGCTCAAAATTATCGCATGACTTGATAGTGTCGAAGTTTGAATATTGTACCTTTAAAGTACATGACAAACGACGCAGTCCACAAAGTCATGCTTTCTCAATAAAACTATGTATATAAAAGAAAAATAATAATCCGATGAGCGTAATGTATTTAAGCATAGATTTAAATATTAACTAAAAATAGTACTTTTACGATAATTCCATTTGTATTCGACCATTCACTATTGTTGAAGGTAAATAAAACATAATATCAATGAATTTCGTTTATCAAAGATTATGTTTAACAACAATAAATATATGACAGATAAAGTCTACTTACAAGTGTACTTTTTTCTAAAAATTGATCAGATCGTATAACATCGTCCCATATTAATATTCGCATTCCTGGTCGAATTTTAAGAATTACATTGACAATTCGTCGAACATGTCTATAAGATGACAAAAGAAAAATTAAAATTAATAAAATAAATAAATACGGTTTTACTCACTGTATATAACGTTCAGGATTTCCAATATTATCATCTCGACATTTTGGATGTACATTCATTGGTGATACTTCATCACAACCAATGTGAATGGTATTTATATTTGGATGCAGATTCAATGTTTGTTTCAATAAATCTTGAAAAAAAAAATGTATAAATAAAATGACTTCTTTTACATATAACATCTTTAACTACAAAGTCATGCAATAAACTTTTTCTACATCTATTTCTATAATCTACCTTCAAGTACAACGTATGTCTCTGGAAGACATGGACTAATGACCATTGGTAAAAGCGGATTATCTCGTAATTTTTCAAATTTTTGCAATTTTAATAGCCATTCTAAATGGCCGAATGTTTGAATTAATGGAATAACTTCCAAATTATACAGTTTTGCTGATGTTTGAATAGATTCGATTTGTTCATGAGTATAACCACCTCGATTTATTGACTATAATAAGAAAGAGACAATTGTCAATAAATTTTGAATAAAGTTCAAAAATTTACAAAAAAACCAATTAAAATATGACAAAAACTTATTTCTATTTTATATAGTCTACTTACATCATTAAACATTCCATTTAATGGCATTGTATCTTCATATTCAATTAGGATTCCTTTAATTCCAGCATTCAATTTTGATATAAATTTAAAAAATGGTTCATAGAATGCAATTTTTGGAGGAGCTCCTTTCAAATCAAAATGAATATATTTTAATAAATTTGGATTTCCTGCTCCTTTTTTAGTAGCAATGAAATCTTGTACTGGTTGTGGTTCCATTCGTAATACTTGTTGTTTATGACTATCATCATCAACATCATCATTGGAACGTGGAAGAAATATATTATTAGTTTTGATTCGTTCATCTGCAACTGTCGTTTGTTGTCGTTTGAATATATAAACGATCAAACAAAAGAGAATAAGAATTGTTGTTGCGCCAAATAAACGACGTGCACCAATAGCCATTGTAAAGAAATTCTTCATATAATGTTTTATTAATCTAGACGAGTAGGGATAATTATTCATTTTTATTTTATTTATTAAAAATATATATAAATGTTTGAAAATATAAACCAATTAACATGCAATACAAACAGACATTTATTTGAACTACAAGAACAAACCTTTTAGTAGTAATCCATTCATGATTCATTAATATAATGCACAAACGACCAAATCATATCTAAAATATAATAAAAAAATAAAAAGACTACTTCATAAGAGATAGTGGTGAAAAACACTTTATTTCAATTTTTATTGAAAAAAAAGTTCTACAAAACATCTGTTTTTGTCAACAAACATGATATTACAGCTTATTTTTATCTTCTATAGGACAGTATTTTTTATTTAAAAATTCAAACATTATCTAATAATTGTAAGAGAATGTTGATCTTTGATTTTTTCATTCTTGCGGAAGGAGAGAATATGTGTTTCTGTTATTTTTGAAACAATATTTTCTTATATATAGAGACTTTAAGGCAATATATGTTAAATGATCTGTTCATTGATACTCAATTATTTTTCCTTCAAGCTGAAAGAAAATAAACTCTTTTGTCCTAAAGTAAATAAATGTAACTCTTAAATTGAAATAACGAGATTTTAATTCTACCATTCATATCCAACATTCTTCTAAAATATCAGAATCTTCAAATACTACCTGAAGAGATTTTTATCATTTGTTGTTAACTTTATTTTTGTCCTACAAAAAAAAATCGACCTCTGACTCTATCGTAATGATATGGTTCCATGACAATGGTGATTATTTTTCTAACATGTTCTACTCAATTATAAATGTAATTCAATAAAACATATATGAACAGATGTACTCATAAAAAAAAAATTGTACTATTTTCGTTTCGTTAAAATGAAATATAATACTGTTTCAATTCAATATAATGTGGATCAAAGTCTTTTGATTGGCAATATTGCAAGCAATTCGAGTTCAGTTGTTAAAAAAGAACAAAAAAACAAAGAAAAAAAAAATATATATATATATATACATACAATGATTGCTATTTTTTATCTCGCACTTTCTTATAACAGATACAGAGCGGATTGATCAGTTAACTCTGACATCTCAATATGTGCAACACACTTTTCTCTTTAATTTGGAATGTCTCAGAGCTCTAGGCGTCTTGCTGTTTGAAAATTTTATAAGAGAAACAAAATGCCAAAAGACCGCGACAGAATTACACTCTGATAGCAGAGTTAGCTGATTAAGCCGAGGGGTAAGAATCGGAAGATAAGAATTTGAATTTTTGATAGGAATATCATGAAAGACTGATATCAGATATAAGGGTTATTTCCAAAAAAGTTACGAGGAAGAAATGCTGATTATTTTCTCGTTATCATCAATTTTTAGATATATATTCATTTCAGACAGTATGGTATTCTAACTTCCTGGCTTTAATCTAATATCTTTTTTTAACATAATATTTATCTGAAGAAAGGAGAGTGTTGCATCTATAGACACTGTCTCTCATATCTAGTGGAGTAATGGATCAATCTAGAGCGTGAAATTTATCTGATCTTTTTTTTAGCTCTCTCTCTCTCTCTCACGGACGAATGGGAGTAACGACAAAAAAATGTATATGATTATACCTCAACCCATGCGCGCTCAAAGTCTTTTTTAAGAAAACTGACAAAACTATTCAGAGTGTAGCCTTATTCTATCAATTTCATTAAAACCAAACTACATGAGCCGTCCGGCTGAGTCAGACATTCAAAACAAAATAACTTTTAGCGTCAATTGCTACGTGATTGATCCATTCTTTCATTAATTTTCAGGGCTTTTTTTTGTACATAATTTAATTTTCTGTCATAAACATTTCTCGTAAAGTGAGAGAAAACTTGATTACAGGATGTTGGAAAATCGGATTTTTTATTACTGTAGCAATAAGAAACTCTCTAAACTCATAACTAAGAATGAATTTCTGCAAAATAATTTTATAAGATCACATGAATTTGCTGTCAGAGATCGAAATAAAAATGTAGCATAGACTCTAGTAGGGCAAATTTTTTTTACAATCTTTTAACGGATAAGAGCATTCGCCTAGATGCATTGATTTAACAAAACAAAATGATTATTGTTACCACAGTTCATTTCATCATAAAGAAATAAACTCAAGGAACAAAAAACATTCAGAAAATGAGAGAATTATCATAAAACGGATTATATACAAAAAACAAATACTTACGGCAAAAAGACGGAAAAAAATATGAGAAAAAGTTTTTTTGATCAGAACCAAATCAGATTTATTTGGGACTCAAAATGAGGTAAGAAAAAAAATGACAATTCATACTGTAAGGAATAGAGAGCATGAACCGAATGAAAATCAAAGGAGAAATCCGAAATTTTGCTCAAAAATAAGAAGAATACGAGAAATTCTAGAAATCATTGGAAAAAGTATATTTGCAGAGAAATATGTAGAACATCCTACATCGAAGATTTTGAAATATAGCGACAATTGTTGCACAGAGAGAGTATCATGCTCTTTTTTTCAAGAATATTCCAGTTACTATATGAGAACAAGAATTTCTTTTCGATTCATGATACAAGTGCAATAGTTTCTGTGTGAGAACTGAATACTGTAATTAAAATGCGATCTCAACAATCTACATTTAAACAGGAACAATACTAAGATAGTTGTCAACACTGCTTACGCACGTATCGATCGAAAGTCATCAAAAAAACAAATATTCCTCTCTCTCTCTCTAGAACTTAAACTGTTTTCTACTTCACCATTAATAAATAGTTTGTATCTCTTTAAAGAAATGTAATTTAGAGGGAGTATTCTTATTTTTTCAACAATTCACTCTTCCACCTTTGAAATTCTCTGAAGTATCCGATTTGTCAATGAAACAAGAATACCCCATTTAAAGTCAAATATGAAAAAATAAATGAGCATAGAACAGCACTAAAATTTTCTTGTTAAATTGAAATATTTAAATAAAATATGTCGACATTTATTTCATCATTCGACTTGTACATCAATAGATATCGACAAAAAACAAAAAAGAAGAGTAAACCAAGTTATTAATAATCAAGAGAGATATAGTCAAGAGATGTTAATCGCGTTGTCAATAAAAAAAGATCGATTAGTTTTTGTTGACAATAATAGTCGAGAAACTCTTTCATCATTCTACGCTGTTGCCGAAGGCGACTTAACTCTTGTGTAAGTTTTCATCGCCGATCCTGTTTCGATTTGTCTATACAGTCACTGACTTTTAAAACGATTAACATTTCTGGATACTAAACAAATTCAGACAAAAACAACAAATTGCTTACTGATGACGATGTTCTTGTTTATGGAATAGAGACGTACTGGCACAAAAAAAAGAAACTGAGAAATAGATAATTTTAAAAAAACATAAGAGAAAAAGAAATAGCCAATAATATAGTTTCATTTTGCTTTTTTGTTCACTCTTTTTTTTCGAATAAAAATATACACTTGTTTGTGTTGTTTCTTGTTACTGCAGTTAATAATAGAAATTGTTCTCTATGATGATTCATTGGCATATTTATGAGTCCATTCTCGTGCTAAAAATATAAAATTCATTTAAACATTTTAATGTTCTATATGATAAAATATTCCTATTAAAGGGAAAAGACAGTCTGTTTTTTGATAGTATAAGTTAGAGAATACTATAGTGGATTTATTTTAGTTTGTATTTTGAAAAAATAAAGCTTAAATCAAAGATTAAAATTATTTACTGAATCTAAGCTAGATTCAGCTTTCGATAAGACAGTTAATTATATCAGTGACTAACTCAAAAACAGGTTAATATTCTGATTTCTTAAAGTCATCGCACACATCTAAACCATTAATAATCTCTCTCTCTATTAGCTAGTATTTATTTGAGGAGTTACATACCAATCATTTTCGCTCCGCGTTCATCTGCTTTCCATTTTTCAGCAACCTCTGCATCAAGAAAATCATCGGGATTTGGAGCACTTAATAAAGCTTGAATTGATAATAAAACCGTACGGATTTGTAATGCTGGACTCCATTTTTCTACAATACACAAAATAAAAAACATCTAGCAGTTAAATATTAAGTTTGAAAAAATAGAAATGAAAAACTTCACCTTTCAGTATATCAAGACAAACACGTCCTAATTTATCAATGTTTGGATGGTACAATTTTGTCATAAAACGCACTTTTGGTGGAGCCATTGGATATTCGTCAGGTAAAAATAATTCAACTTTAAATTTTCCACCTTCATATGGGCTCTAAACGATAAACACAGCGAAAATTCTTCTTAATATCATTTGAACAACAGCGTTTAGAACGGAGAATCGGTGCGCAAATTTATCAGTAAATTGTATTTTTCCAATAGTCGGAGCAAAGTATGAGTTATTTACTCTCAAATTTGAAGTAGAAATTTAAAAAACAGAGGAAGATTCCAGTCAGGACGTCTCTGAGAGTGAACTGTTATCAGTCAGGATATAGAAATCAAGTAGAAAAAGTAAAGTTTTAACACACATACCTCACCTGGACCATCAATCACAACTTTAAAATATCTTGCATTTGAATCATCTGGATTTGCTGTTATACCAGGGACTGGTTCTTGTACAAGTCGTGTTGTTTCCTTGAAAAACAAATAAGAAAAAAGTGTGTACTTATTTTCTTAGTTCAAAACATTGACTGTTGTTTACTTTTACAATACGTTTGGTTAAAGCACCAGTATCAGCCATCTGAAAGAGAAACGTGAATAATTAGTTTCATAACAAGACAATTATTATATACCACGTCAGCAACTTTCATAGTTATACACTAAGCAAAGTTTCTAAATATACATTCATAATAGTGTTTGAACGATAGATCTCTTTCTTTTTTTATATTTTGAACGCACAACGGACGAACTCTATAACCATCCTCGCATATCACCCAAATCATAAAAACGGATGAATCAAAAATTCCACTAGGCTAACAATTAGCAGCGTTACCAACGTTGTTTCCTTTTAGCTCCAAATAGTAGCTCCAAGGAGCCCAGATGAATGTGAATTGATGTATATAAAATTTCTCCTTGACACTACTCTTTGAAGCTAATAAGAAATAATGCGTTAACAAGAAAAGAATCATCATCAATGATTCTATTGGGGCCACCTTAAAGCAAATGAATAAGTTATTTAATCCATGTATCACTTATTTTATCCTTGACTTGAAAACACATACCTCTCAAAAGCAACAGAGGTCAGAAGAACTCCTATCATTTGCACAGAAACTTATTTTCAATTTTATTTGTATCGTTTATTAAGAAATTAGATCGCTAAATGACGTAGAGAGTGGCACTTCTGATTACTTGACATTTTTTAAATTGTATCCTAGTTTAGACTAATCTACAATACACATCTGCTTGATGGAATAAAACTTCATGATTCTTTTGATGCATTAGCATAAGACTGATAATTTTGCTGATTAGTTCAAAAATCTGACAAATAGTTCAGGAAGAGTAAACTGTAGGCATCTATGGAGTGGGTATATACGGATTATAAAACACTAGGTAACGCTCAGAATGCTCGTCTGTATTCGCTCTGCCCCTTGACCTTAGGAACTTGTATTTGCACTGTGAAAAAATCGCACGTTTAAACCGTGCTAATCTGACAGTTTAAACGTCAAAACCTGACGCTTTTTTAAGTCTGACGTTTTATCCCTTCTAATTAGAGCCCTGCATTAGATGGACCTGGACAGTTTTTTTAAATCTGTCCATGGACACGGACGGACATGGACAAAAAAAAATTGTCCATGCAGGGGCCTGTTTCTTAAAAAAACTTAAGTAGAAAATCTTACTTAAGTCAAAAAAGACAAAGACTTTTTTGGACTTAAGTTTGACTTAAGTAAGATTTTCTACTTAAGTTTTTTTAAGAAACAGGCCCCAGGTCTCTAAATTCTCATACGCAAAACGTATTTAAAAAACGCGAACATTTCATGGACAAACTGATGGACATGGACAGAAAAACACTTTTGTCCGTGAACATGGACGGACATGGACAAAAAAAAATTGTCCATGCAGGCCTCTACTTCTAATCCGACACTTTAATCGTTCTAACCTGACACTTTTTCCACTCTGACGGTTAAAACGCCAGGTGAACATGAACGTTTTAACCGTTCGGTTACAAAAACGTCAGGTTGGAACGTTTCAAACCTCTATATGATTTTGTATTAGGGAATGAAATAGCCAGTGGGCAGCGTTTGAGTTTAAAAAGGCACACTTTGCTAAAGAATGACTGAAGGAAGATTCTCGGTTTTTTGAAGGACTCCGTTGTTTTTGAAATAAATACATTTTACATTTCACAGCGATGCCATCTTTCTCACAATAATGTATTTATTCAAAAAACAAGCCTCTAAAATCATGTCTGAACTCGTTATAAACGAACCAACTGTTTCCTCACATTTTACCTTGTGACATTCCTCAGGTTATTCTTTAACATGTGTACTCTAAGGATCGGCGATTCGACAGGTTGCTATTCATTCTAGAGTGCCGCGAACTAATCCGAGAGTTACAAAATGTGCAAAACGACCATCCCTACTTGACGATTAAGGTGACAGATTCCTCTGTTTTGCATCTGATTTCTTTGAACATTTCGCAAAACAGCTAATTTAATATTTAGTTTGTGATTAACAACCTTCCATGGGACAGTAAACAACACATTACTTCTACTGCTAAGTTTCTATGCATTTTAATTGAAAAATCAAATTTTAGTTCCAATGTTTGCTCCTGTGAAGTTAATGATAAAACGTTAAGCATAAAAGAAAGAATAATTCATTTTAAAACATTCGATGAGAGAAACCCGACGCTTAAACCGTCAAGTTGCACGACCTGACGGTTTAAGCGTCGGATTTTATTTTATTTATTCAGTCGCAGATGACTCACCCGACCGGAAGTTTTTCCCGTTCGGTTGCGCAACCTGAACGCAAAAATCGTCAGATTGGACCGGTTAAAGTGTGCGGTTTTTTTACAGTGTGCGAACGATCTTCCATGACTTTTGAATTCAAAACAACGCTCAATTTTATCGAAGCAGATTAAGACTAGTTTATTCACGAAAAGTCGAAACACTTGTCTAAGTGTCGGAGCATGATTACTCTTTCCAAACCTTTCAAAAGGACAAAATAATGAGCTAATGTAGAAAAAATTTTTCTGTTACTGCAACAAATAGAAAATGTTTGGAATTCATGTATAATAAAACTGACTCAATCTAAACTTCAAATCACTGCCCAGTAAATCATACACTGTGAACTCCCTCGCCTGTTAATTCATCATTTTTCGTTTCTTTTTTGGGTAGAAAAGAATAAAAGCTCTATAAAAAATTCCAGTGCGGCACCGGTAAAAATCAGTGCACACCGGTGCGCATGGCGTGCCATCGATCACTGGCACTGGTGCGCACCGGTGCCTAGAAAAAAAATTATTCGGCACCGGTGCGCACCCGTGCACAACCAGTGCCGATAAAATATTTTTTTGTAGGGAGGTTCTTATAGATGGTGTAAATATGAAAAGTACTCGCTTTATCACAATTTTTATTCCCGTTAGTGACTGAGATAAATGAAAAAGAAACACATTCCTTCAAGTGACTACACAGTGGGTATTTTTCCACAGCGCAGGCGGACATCTAGTTTTATGAGTTAAAAATGATTAGTTTTGCATAATATTGTCCTATTATGTGTGAAATTTTAATAGAAGTAAGAAAAGTCAAATTCGAAAAAAATTCTTTTCCAATGAAAAATCCCTGAGGGTGATCCTTGCTCTGAATTTTTGTCAAACAATTTTTTATTTGTAAAACCCATCTCTTGAATACTCCTGGTCATTCGAAAGAACAGGCTATATTTCAAAATCTATATGTTCAATCCAGATAGTCTTTTCACCCTTTTGGAGAAGAAGTGGTCCGGATTACGTATCACTACTTTACTTTGTTACAACTCACAATCGTTCAATTGAAATTGAGTTTCTACGGGCAGTATACTAATCTTATGGTAATTTTGTTGGTCAAATTTTTCTGGGAAGAAAGATGGCTAAAATAAAATATTTTACACCATTCGATAGCACGTTGGACGGTGTTTATTAGACACTACCGAAATCAATAAAAAGTTCACTTTCAATTTTTTACTAAAACTGTTCTACGATTATTGCCAGGCTACTTTCCTCAACAAACTTATTTCGATATTCTTCTCGTCCAAATATATAAATGCCGTTGCAATTATGGATTCTTTTCTGTTAGTAGTACTCGCCGATATGCAGTTATTTTCTGTTGTGCTCAGCAAAGTATTAGTTTGTGTTATTTCATCTAATATCTTTTAATTTTTCAGTTTTGATGCGCATCACAACTTGGAATATAAACGGTTTACGTTCGTTGAAAGCACCACTAAAAACAGTGCTCGATTCCCTTGAAAGTGACATTATTTGTGTGCAAGAAACAAAAGTAACACGTAAGTGCGAGTTTTATACCAAGTTCTAACTCAAATTTGAAGTCAGATTGAGCTCGATGTAAAATTTATTTGTTTTAATTCTCAGTCCCATCCGAGGTTCGCTTTGATTCCATCCAGTTTCATTTAAATGCCATCTGCACACAACACGTGCTCGGAGTTCATCTTTTTATTTATGCTTTGGCGATTGATAATAGAGTATGTTAATAAAATCAACTAATCACATCTAACGGTTGTTTATGTGATAAGCCAGCCCAACGCACATTTAAACTTTTCTTTATCTCTGGGGTCCATGCGAAGCCCAGATACGAATATAAGGGTCAAAAATAGTAGGATATGTGAAAAGATTGTTGAGGAGGTCAAAATGAAGTAGCCGACGGAAGAATTCTCACTCTAAAACGTTCCTAGTTTAATTTAGTTTCTCTCATCCGTTATTTTTCTTCCCCGATAAAGATCTTTTATCTTTATTTTTTAGGCGATGCTTTACCAGAAGATTATGCCATTGTGGACGGATATCATTCATTTTACAGTTACTCAAGATTGCGCACAGGTTACTCAGGTATGTACAGTACAAATAGATCGAATCAAATAATCTCATATTTAAATCGATGAGTTTTTAGGTGTCGCCACATTTTGTAAATATAATTTTTCGCCATCTCGAGCCGAAGAAGGTACAACAAGAGTTGTCTCTTCGCGTTTATGGCTATAATATTTTCACCTTTTCAGGACTCAGTGGCCGTTTTGTTCGTCATTTAACAGATAAATTGGGTGGTGATTACAGTATACTCGACCAATTATTGAATGAAGAAGATCTTGTTACCCTTGACAAAGAAGGAAGAACAGTCGTAACAGAACATCGATTAACGTATATAATAGATTCTTTTTATATGTACAATATACCGTTCGATAGAAATGCTTTCTTTCTTCAAGAGATGGAACAATTTTAGTGATATTCAATGTTTATTGTCCACGTGCAGATCCAAATTTACCTGAACGTTTAGAGTATAAATTGAAATTTTTTAAAGCATTGGAAGCAAGAGCCAGATATTTTTTGCAACAAGGCAGGTATATAGATGTTAGATGGTTTTGTCTATTTTAAATATGCATATTTCTTCTTTTTTTATTTCTAGCCGAATTATTATCGTCGGCGATTTGAATGTATCACATAAATTGATCGATACCTGTGATCCTGGGGATTTGGAAGTAAGTTAGCATTCAGTTAGAATAGAAAACAATTTTGAAAATGCGCTTTCAGAATTGAAAACTGAAAATAAAACGTTCGATATTTTTATTTAGGATTTTGAATTGAGTCCATCTCGAAAATGGTTAAATGGTTTATTAAATGATTCTCAATTTACTGATACATTTCGACATTTTTATCCAACGGAATTAAATGCTTATACATGCTGGAGTACTGTATCACGATCTCGTGTTCATAATTATGGCACGAGAATTGACTATATAATTGCTGATTCTAAAACCGTTAATGAATCGTTAGCTAGTTGTTTACTAAGGTGAGTGCGAGATCCTTTATAATTTATCAATAATATATGCGTTTGATTATTTTAGACCCGACATTTTAAATTCGGATCATTGTCCAGTTATGGCTAAATTTAATTTAGAATGTCTTCCTGTGTCAAAACCATCTTCATTTTGTACACGCTATTGGCCAGAATTTCAAGGAAAACAAATTAAATTATCACAATTTTTAACAAAAAAGAAACCAAATAATACTAGTAGTAATAGGTAGGACATATAAATGTTCACATATATAGACAAAACATTTTCTATAGAGTATTTTCTTTTTTATTTCTAGTAATATATTTGAAAATACGTTAATTCCGTTGAACAGTGAACCGGTAAATGAATACTAACGATATATAAATTATATACCTCACAGAGGCTGAATTGGGTCTTAGATGGATGACCAGAACCGATCCGATCTGATTCGAAGATTTTTCGACCCTATTCGGCTAGACCCGAAAAATTTTCGAAACTTGATTCGAATGACCCGAAAATTTTTTTTAGATCACCTAACAATTTTTTCTGGAAAAAGAGCAGAAATCTGTAGCTTTTTTAATAGCGTAAAACATTTCTCAGGTTTTATCTCCAAGAGGTGATTCATTCAGATTGTGATAACTCGAAACAGGAAATTATTTTTCTCGATCGTATATTGCCATGAAGTTTAATCATCATAATGCAACGCATATTTAAGTCGTTCGTTTTTTTTGATTTACTTATCGCTTTTTTTTTCTGTTCTTTCTTTGCTTCAATAGTGCGACACTGTACAGTGTGCATTACACAGAGTCAAAGCAGAAAGGAAAAAACACTACTTCTTTTTGCGATCAAAAAAAGACATATGTTGGAAAATAGATGAGTGAACCGCAATTGAAGAAAATCCCTTGATTTGTTTTCTAGTGGCAAGACCCGAATTTTGTTTCTGTGACCCGACCCGTTTCGGTTTCTGATACCTTATTTAATGATAAAATCTATCTTTCGAAATTTAGAGAGAAATGCAAAGTTCTTATGAATAGTTCTGTAAATAAATGTTGTATTTGAATGTTCTGTTTCGAGCTCCTCGCTTATTTTTTCACAATATATTGTTTTTTTACTTATGACTATGCGTTGTTACTATATGTATAGTTTGATTTTACATTTTTGTTATGTCAATACTTCTAGGATATTGTGTTAGTAACAAAGGCTGTATCACCATGTACAACACAAGAAAAATTAAAACGTAGTAATGATTTAGTCTCATCAACATTGACCAAACCTCCAATGAAAAAATCAAAATCAAATTCAACTTCAAAACAATCGAATTTATTAACATTTTTCAAGACTTCAAAACCAATTGAACAACAGTCAGGAGTATGGCGTATTTCATTCAGAAAATTGTGTCTAAAACTAGACTTATGTTTGATTTCGTTTTAGACTAGTGAAGAACAACAAGTGATAATCATAACATCTATACCATCGCCACTCTCAATATCAACGTTAACAGAATCTGATGAATCGCAATCATCTCTTTCAAATAATGGTGATTCACAATCTTCAACACCTCCATCAAAGTCACAACAACAAAATTGGAATCATATTTTTCGTCCACCTACTCCTGCACCATTATGTAAAGGACATCAAGAACCATGTGTATTACGTACAGTTAAAAAAAAAGAATCATTAAACAAAGGTCGACAATTTTATGTTTGTCAACGAGCAGAAGGTGCAAAAGATAATCTAGAGGCAAGATGTGATCATTTTGAATGGAAAGAACAAAAAATAAAAACAGGAAAAAAATAAAATTATCTCAGATATTTGTTTAGATTTAGTTTTATTTTTGTTTGTTTGTATATTTTGTACAGCGTTATTTTTCAGAATTATGAAATTCAGAACAGATATAAATAATAGAAAGATTCGATGCTTAATGCTTTGATCGACGGCGAATTCGTATAAAAGTTCTGTATTACTCATCAAATCATAATGATAAGTTTTTGAAATGCTGTTTATTAACAACCTTACATTCTAGTTTGGAGAAACTTACAGACTTAGTTGTCAATATAAAAATTTGTAATTTTGTCATATACTAATTTCCACTATAAAAAAATTCTGGTGTGGGCTCGCGTCCAACAAGTATCAACAGGTACTGGTGCTGTTCAGTGCCGATTGATATCAACCAGAAAAGTACCGTTATCGATGATTATATTGGCAGAAGTTGATAATTGAAAAATAAAATTGTGGCACTGGTGTACATCATGGCCAGAAAAAAATTATTTGATATCGGTGAGCATTCGTTCACGACCAGTGCTGATAAACTTCTTTTTCTTTTTGTCAAGTAATATGTCCAGAGGGGATTAATAGCCCAGTTTTCGTCGAATACTTGATTAACGAAGGCTTGGATTTGTTGAATAAAACGTTAAAACGCATTCGAGCATGTCACTTGAGATTTTTTGAATTTGTCTTAATAAACTGGTTTCGCTTCTTTTTTTTTTTTTTGATTGATGAAAGAAAAAACCCGTGTGAAAAAATAATAAATCAATTACATCAATCAATCGTTATAAAAAGAGATTCGTCTTAATACTTCAACATTTAATGTTTCTTCGTCTCGATTTTTTTTCTTCTTTTTTTTTCTTTACGGTGTATCGAACAATGTCCTAAAAATCGCAGTTTTTTTTTTTTTTTTTCTAAATACAAAAGAAAAAGGGAAAATATTATTGAATTAACAGTTAGAAGTGCATTAACACAAAAAAAGAGAGAATATCAACGGTTTCTACGTCATCGCTTTTCCAAAATTCAGTGTTTTCTTATACTAATAGGTTAAATAAGTAATCCATTCAACCTAGGAACTATTCTAGCTCATATACACAATCTCTACATCGTTCTTGAATATAGTATAAACGAAAAGAGGCAATTGTATTGTTTCTTTTTATTTTTTCGCGGATATCCGATCATTATTTAGTTATATTATAGAAGAACAGTATATTCGTTTCAAATTTGATTCTTGCCATTTTCTGTAGATGCAAAAAAAATTATCTAAAAAAAAGAAGAAAAGTGACAAACTAAGAATAAAAGAATATTTTTATTTTATTTTTATATAGATCACGTTATTTGAATATCAATATGTTACAAGAAAAAGAGAGAGGATGATATAGATGTAAGAAACACAAAACATATTCTTCGCGGTTTTTTTATTTTTATTATTGCATTCACCATCGCTCAAGAAGCGAACAAAAAAAGAAAATAGAAATATATGCAAATAAACTTGTTTCCTATATATTCGGAATAGTAGTGGTGATGTTGTTATTATTATTCTATTATTATCATTATTCCCTGGCATCGTCCATCAAAATTAGATTTAGTACTGATACAAAACAACAAAAAAGAAAAAGACACATAGACAAAACAAGTGTGAAAGGTGCATTTTATAAATTTACCCCAGGAGAAATGTGTATCTGCAGTGTTAATGTCTTTTTAACTATTTATCCGACATAATTAAATCAGTATATTTCAACATATTTGTTCTTTTTTGTCTAAAAGTAAGAATAATGTGATATGATGCACATTGATAGTTTATCTAAATCAAAATCGACTAATCACCGTTGTTTCTCTAGCTGTTCGACATGTCAATTACTTTTCTCTTACTAATTTTAATTCATATATTAATCGTATCATCAAAATCTGTTCTGTGTCATTTATTTTAATCATAATTTTTCAATATATCTTGTTTGAGATGTACAACATCTTAACAAACATTCAAATAAACAACGAGGATGATATGGAGAGAAACAAAAAGGAGTGTAGGTATTGAGGATGAGCGAATACACAAATATAGTGCTCGCATAGTATGAAATTTCCAAAAGATATTCCACAGGGCTAGTGTACACATGGGAACATAGTCCAGTTTTAGCAGATGGAACACAGTCATTTTTTAAGCACATAATCAATTTTAAAAAACTAGAAGTAGATTGCAGAATGCATAAAATTGAAAAGCAAAATATGAATAGAATATTGTTAGACAATGAAAACAAGTTCTGACAGGAGAATTTACAATTTTAAACTATTTCTCACTTATAGGACAGATTTATATATATATCTTGTAATACACAATGATATTCTGTTTTTTGTACAAAATTGCTTGATGTTCTGTGTGATTATGTCATATTAACAAGAATGGATTAGAGGCTACTCATCTCGACAGATTTTTACAAGGTATTTTTTCTACGATATTTTTTAAAGTGAATCGACAATAGACAACATAAAAGTCTGACATTTTTTCCATTACTATATTTGGAATTTTTTGATCAAAGACATATACATTATTATTGTAAAATGATTGAACAAAATAAGAAGTATATATCACAGGATCAAATTTGTGCGTATTTATTTATAAGCCTATTAAGTGAAGTATAAACACAGAGTAGAAAACTGTGACATATATTTCAGAAGCTTAATAAGAAACTATAACAAAATGAATGTATTAGGATGTTCTCGAGAAGTTATAGTATGAAAAAAAAATATTTTCTATATACGATTACTATATCTTTTTCTTTCTCTGATTCAATACTTTGCTTTACACTATATACTTGTATGTAACATAATGAAGATGTTTACCAAACTAATTTATCTATATTTAGAATCATCATGGTCACCTCGACTTTATTAATGTGTAAGATATAGAATATTTTAATATTTAACAATTAAACTCTGAAAGATACTTAATTATAGCAAACAAAAATTTAACAACAATATTTTCTTTTTTTTATACATATTGATGAGTATGTACCAACAAGTGCTCGTTTCACTCTATTTATACAAACGACATAAAACTCATCTCTCTTTCTCTCTCTCTATCTTCCCATATATTTTCAAAAAAACATATGTTTTTCCAAACTTCTTATCAATAAACGAAAATTAGTTCCGCTAAGTAATAAAAAAACTGATGATTATTTTTTTTTCCTATATGAATTGTATCCGACAAATAGATAGACTATATAACTACAAGGCAAAAAAAAAGAGAAATGAATAATCATGCTTTTTTTATATAACAAAAGAATTCGATGTAAAAGGGAAAAAAGAATTTGATGAATTGTCTACCGGTGTGCAGTAGATTTTTTCTTGTTAATTCCCTTTCTCTCTTTTTCTCTTTCTTTAAAAAATAATTTTGTGACATCGAATAATTAACAAAAATTTTTATATCATAGGATGTCATTGACATCACAAAATTAATCAAAGGTAAATAATATCTTCTTTTTTTTTTTCATTAATAATTATTTTATTATTTCTCAAATAGCACAAATTGATATCCATCAACATAAAAACGGAAGAAAATATTATATAAAGGAAACAAAAAAGAGATCGAGCAGAAATTCATCCGTCAAAATAGAGACATCTTCCTTCCTTTTCTTTTCAAATAATTATGCAATATCCATACCTTTTTCTTTCTTTTTTTCTCTTTATTTACCGCCATAATAATTTCAAAAGATAATTTAGTAGCCCTTTTCTATTATTATTACCTTAATTTACTATTTGCTAATACGAAGAAGTTGCAGAGTGTAAAAAAAGAGCATCATCGAAGACCAGGAATAAGACAAATTTTTTTTCGATTAAACCTTCATTCTAAATAAATTAAGAGGAATAAAGTAAGTTGTAGTTATTTAAAGGAATGCGTAATTACATACCAATAGAAGAAAAAGTTTTTAGTTATTATTAGATGTGCTGCTGATCAACAACGTTTTTTTTAACGTTAAGAGATGTTTCTCTAATACAAGAGTTTTTAAAAAGAGAGTGAAAAAAATAGATAATTTGTTTTTTCAATTGTTGGAATATACAAGTTTAATAAATGATAAGGTGCTGCTGTTTAAACAATAATATTCTATTTTAAATTGATTATATTCACTTTTAGTTTCTACGTGCATGATCATCATCTTCGTCATTTATAAAGAGTAATCACTGAGTTATAGTCATCACTAATAATGAAAAAATCACATAAAATAGAACATTAGTAGAAGAAAACAATAGTTCAGTAATGAAGAAATGATAAAAAGTTGTGATTATCCAATTTAACTTAAATTGGATAAAGTAATCTTTCAGTAAAACTTTCGATTTTGTGTTCAGTATAACCTAATATAGAGGAATGTCTCAACTACAAAACAAGACTACTACCAGTATTCTATCATTTCCCTTCAAAAGATATGAGATACTTAAAATATTAACGAAATTCAATATTTTTAGTTTTGTAAATCGTTCTCTCCTTTCCAGTGCCCTAAAAGCTTTTCATTGCATTGTCTGATCAAGCTAAGTGTTCTCGTCACAATGAGACATTTTTCGGAATTTTTTGAATAGATTTTCGCGGAGATAGGAGTATCGTCGCGTATGTGGTGAAAAAGATAATCCGTTTTTCATTTTGCATCTGTGATTTAAAAGGTTTATTGGTCTTAATAAACTCTTTTTGATAGTTTATTAATCTACGACTTTTTTTATAGAGTGTATATTTTTCAAAATCCACAGATTACATTTTATTTAAATTTGACCAAGGTTTTTTGTATCGAAAAGGAAAAATCAGAAACGATACAAACAGAACTCTAAGAGCGATGAAATAAGGAATAGGTGAAACTATAGAAAATTGTTTTTTTTATCATTCTAATGATATGAAGAATCATCATTAAATGTGCTTCTCATAATCATAATAATTTATAGATTGTATTGAAGATAGTTGGAACATTTCTGATTCGTACGATGGTACTCATAAATATCGACAAATAACGCAGAGATAAAACATCATTTATTAGTTTAATGTATAAAGT